CAGACGGAAAAAGTTTGCGGCTCGATATTTTTGGTTTAAAGCGAAACTGAAACAAAAGAAATTCATTTTTAAATAGTATTCGGTAACCTCTAGTTGGGAGATAAAAATCGGCCGATTTTATTTTTTAGCCGGAAATCATCGGTCGTTTCTTAGGCGTAGGGCCTCTTAAATATGCATGAATCATCGCTGTTAACGTATTTTCATATTCTATCAGTCTTTCGCAATCAGCGTCCTTGTAACAGTTACCAGAGATTTTAGCTGTAGTTTCGTTTTGCTGTAACTCTCTTGAGCCACCGGGTAAGTGTTAGCCAACAGGCGTCGAACTGCTTATGTTTCTTTCGTTTAGTTTCATGTTACGTTTGGTCATGCCTTTGTATATGTTTCTAGGTTTCGAAGTAATATCCGACGAATGGAATTAAATTGTTGTGACTAAAGCGTCGACTGATACTTTGATAACGGTAAATTGTACAGCGAGCGAAACAAAAATGTTGTTGAGTTGTCCTTCCACAGAATTACTGCTTTCAAATGAAAGTTACAAGATGCCCCGTTCTTGATTCGCACAAGTTTCCGGGCTGATCTAGCTGGGGTGAAAGCTCGTGTCTGAGGGTATTGAGCTACATTGCTCAGTTCGAATCGCGGACATTTTCCACGCCAACGGGTACAGACGTTGTTTATAATAAGTTCTGGCTGCCCTTACTTTTTCGATGCCAACTTACGGTACACGTATAGTAAAATAAAGATTGTCTACTTACAAAGAGGGAATTGTGATTCTGGTCAAAAAAAGGAAATTGAATCGAAATCGGCACTGTCCCAGAGCTCTGGTCGTCATTTTGTGGAAGAACCTGATCGCCTTCACTCTGTCCAAACGGATAAAAATTCGGAAGTACTGCAGCCTCCGAAGTTAGGATTTCATCACAGGCGAGAAACAGAAGCGGCGAAAGTATCACAACAATCTTCATGTTTAGCCAGAGTGTGTTGTGATCTGCGTGAAATCTGAATTTAGCATGGTCAGGGGTCACCTGAATTCCATCGAAATGTAATTGTACCCATGATTCGTATCCCGCGAGTAGACGGCTTATTGACAAGATACTTTCATTGAATACTGATCTTGTGACCCGAGACATGGATCAATGGAGGGGGATTAGAAATGGAATTATTTTCCACTCGAAAACAAAATTGCAAGAATCCGCTGCGGCGGAGGTATTTTACCAAAGAGAAAGGAACTTTGCCGGATTGCAGGGTAAATGCGGAAATTTTAAAATCTCAGTCATTTGTGTAGGTGAATCACGTTTTATTCCAGACTGAACGGCCTGGCTACTCATCATAGTACCTTACCCTTCCTATCTCTCCTCTGTCCCCCTCCCCTCCCCACCCCCCTCCCATACCTGATATAGATCCATTTTGTAGGTTAGCTTTCATTTTTCGGTTGTACGATTTTAAATAGCGTGATAATTGAGATTGTTCAACTTGCAATTTGCAGCAAGAGATTATGATCATTTTCTCAGTCTTGTTTGTAGTCAAAGTTATTTCATCTGTTTTCGCTGTGTTCGTTCTTCATATTGACTACGTTTCCGCACAATTCGCGGAATGGCCGCCCTTTGGATAATGGCCAAGCACGGTGATAGTCTCCCTAAACACTTCTTGACTTCCTAGATCCAAAATGAAACCAAATCATTATAGAATCAGTGCACAAACAGGGAAGTTAACAATCCAGGGGACAATGTTTCCTTGTTTGCACTTGGTATGCGGACGTAATGTGCAACACGAAAGCCATTTTTCTTCATAACGGTCGTGGACCTTCCAACATAAATCTTGACATTTCTGTTTGCTCCTTTAATGTTTTCCGGACTTCGAAACCATTCCGCACTATCAACAATGGTTTTAGCAGCATGAATCCATAGCAATAGTTTGGACGAAGACTCGTTTTGAAACAGAGGCACAAGCGAACTCGGAAATGGCCTATGACATTTACTGATTTTGGATTGGATTAGTCCCGAAAAGGAACATTACTAGTGAGTGACACTCGATAGCCTGAGTGAATGTACATTGTGTTCGTTGGTTAATAAGGGAAGAGAGAAGGAAGGAGTTCGGATTTTGTGATTTGTCTCTTGACTGCAATACTATTGTCATTCACATGCATCTCAAGCTTTTATTTTCATTACATGGAACTCGTTCGTAAGTATATTTACTAACTCGAAGGTGTTTTTAAAACCTCAGGCTAATAACTGAGTTAGCTTCCAGCGTGCTTATCCAGCTTTGCCTTTTCCAACAATCCGCGCCAATAACAAGGTTAATGCTTTTTGTTTGTCTTCATTCTAAAGAAAACTAGAACAACAAAAACAAATTACACCTCCCTAACATGTCTACCTAGGAAAAAGACATTTCGAAAATTAAGATTGTTAAAAGACTATCAAGAGACTTCTAATTTCAGTGAAGCAATTAATGCAAGTCTTATTGATGATGCTTCGATTATAAATCAAGGACGTTTTCAGAAATTACAGAACGGGAGCAAGGGTATGGAAATTTCGAGGGAATAATTCCAGAAAATCCGAAATCTATTGAAATACTCGAAATGCAAACCATTCATCCCAAACGTCCGGACATTTTAGGAGCAAAATAGAGTGGAACAGAAATTTGGAATGGAACGGAGAGTTCACGGTCCTCTCTAAGGAAATATTGGGATCCATATTTCGGTGCAGTCAGATCAACTAGAACACGCTCTTCCATTCACAACTGGAATGTTCAGAAATTCAGACCGGAATTTTTCGTCGAATGGATAGCGTCGTAAGATCTGTAATTGACGAGAGCTGAGAGTGAAAAAAGTACACAGTACTGAACCATTCATTCATCTCCTCTTGTGTTTGTTTTCCTTTATACGTTCGTCACTCTTGAGTTAATTAAAATTCTTATCGTGTTACATTTACAACAATTAATCTTATGGTGATGGTCTAAGGCCGACAATACATTCACATGCATAAATATATGTCTGGATGAGTCTCACATCCTTTTGCACCTGGCTGTAAGAAGGCTACAAACCAAACAAAGCAACTTATTCCTACCCGAAGTACAGAAAACAAGAACGTGTTTAATTATAAACTAGAAAACTCTAATTACTAGAGTTTTTCGTTACTTGTAGCTTTCAGCTACCCAGTAAAGGGTTGCAGATCTGTCAGATACTAATACTGTAATCATGAATCGTCAAAAGTCGGTTAAAGCCGAATAAATTAGTAGCCGAACATTCAGCCCGGGCAAGAATTAGCCTTGTTTTTGTTTACTCTCTTTACCATGATAGAAACTTGTTCACAGGTTGTGGAATTCAGCTTCCACCTTGACCGATATAAGATGATGTGAGGTACTTTGCTTTCAGCGGAAATATGTACTAAAATCTTTATAACTTCTCACGGCCGGGGCAAACTTGATCAAAAGCAGTTTTTCATAATATAACAATAATGAAACTTTCTTCATGGTAAGTTAATACTAAGAACGTTTTAATAGTGGAATCCCGAAAGAGAGGGAGATAGAGAGAGAGGGAAAGAAAGAGAGAAACGGTTTTGTTCAGAACTTGCTTGAGAATGGAAACTTGCTTGGAAACTTCATCCCAACACTCAATTTCGTATAGTCATTATATTAAGGTTAAATATGATGCTATTAGGGGTGATGATATCGAAGGAATTAGGAGAGAAAGACTGATCCTCTCTCTCGACGAAAGTGAATGTCCATCTAACATTTTCAGAAAAACTCTCCTCGGAAACATAAAAGTTGAGAAATTTTCAACCACAAAATTCCAGTAATGCACTTTTGAAATCTAACAATATTCTTAAAATATAAATATGACTCAATTCAGTAAACGTGTTTCTAGATCTCTCTCGAAGACTTTATTAAGTAATCGTGTAGTTTAACATCGCTGCTTATTGAAATGTTGTGTAATATATTGTACTTGTAATACTTGTACCCTATTTTAACAAAGGTTAATGGGAGTGCAGCCGTCACGCTGTTTGCTTTCTCCTTTTCCCACGCTTTACAAATTATGAACATCCTCGAATCCGTGCCACTTTCAGGAGAACTGCTACATTGTCCGACAACATGTGCAACTTAGCGCCATGGTGGCATGCACTTTCCCTCAGCAAAGCAAAGTAACGACCTGTTTATAAGGAGGGAGGGTTACCCTAGCAAGCAGGTTACGCTAGCACTCAGACATTTCCTCTTTTTTTCTTCGTCGTGTTTACAAGGCAGCTAGGGTTATCCGGGTAGGCGGGTTACCCTATCTGCATGCTAGGGTTACCCTGGCAGGCGGGTTAACGTTTTCACTTGTAAACACTCCAGGTAGGGTTCACCCGCCTACCCGGGTTAACTTTCTATTGTTTGCAGACTCTTTGATGAGTGTAACCGCTTATTAAGTTGTCCCGGGTTGTAGGGTTACCCTACCTGTGAAATTTTGCTTGTAAACCCGGGATATACCCTTGCTAGGGTAACCACCCCCCAAGCGGGTTAACCCTAGCTGGAAGGCAAAAGATATCCCGGGTTTACGAGCAAATATGTTTAAGTGCTAGGGTAACCCGCTTGTTAAGGTAACCTGCTTGCTAGGGTAACCCTCTCTCCTTGTTTTTGATTTTTGTGAAGAAAAACCAGAACCCTCGCAAAATTTAGCTGGGCATACTGCTGGTTGAAGGAGTGTTTCTCAAAAGTTGAACGTGATCTGGAGCCCTGATCAATATCCGTGTTTAGTACTAGAGCTAGTGTACCGGGAACAGGAAAAAAAAAACTTTAAGCACTAAGCTTTTCGAGCTTGAAGGAGTTCAATCAACATAGCTAATATTCAGCTGCCACAACGCGCAGGATTTTGCTCTAATGTTTTTACTTTTATAAGTTTCTCCGTCATAGATTTCTAAGTTTCTCGCGCATAAAATGGTGTTCCCATGAAGCAAATAAACTTCCCTGTGTTCGGCATAAGGCATGAATAGCCTTAAAATTCACCAAACATTGTTAAAAGCCGATGCCACAGGGTCTTAAAATAACTGAGGAGAATTGACTACCTTTGCAATTACATCTGCAAATGGTTAAGTGTTCAAGTCTTCCCGGACAAGGACTATAGATTGTAGGCCCCGTCTCCTGCATCGCCAGCGTTACATGGTTAGCCGGGGAAGTTAAAGAACCCATGCTCACACCTATCGCAAAGAGCTGGGCACGGAGTTCCCGGTGTTGTGTTCTGGCCTTGTCTCACGGGTTGGTGCTTTCCATATAATAGAGTTAACCTCATTGCACCTGTGAAGAGAGGCACTGTAAAAGCAAAATGTCGTACACAAGAACAAAGATTGCCAAAGAATTTATTAATAATTTATTACTTATTAATAAACCCTGGTGCATTCAACCTTCCTTTTCACTCAAACCTTCAATGTCACTCAATTACATTGCCCACGCATTAGCGTTGTTTGAGTTTGAACAAAAAACAAGAATACTTATACTTAATTGTAACCGTAAACTCTAAAACAAATTTTGTAATTCCCGATCAGTCGCCTCGACCATAAGAAATGTTTCAGGCGTGTCGGGATGGGCTTATTCGAGGTATGCTGTCTTAAAATCTACTTAAGTATCGAGGGCAGGATGGATCTTTGTGCAATTTGTCTAAGAATTTGTTTTTTAATTTGTGCAGGACTTTTTGTTTTGTTGTTGTTGTTTTTTCGTTACATTGCCAGTTTCAGATGTCTTCCAACATTTTAGCGCATCGTTTTGCATGATTTTTTTTCTCTGTTTTTTTCTTTTTTCTTTTTTTCTTTTTTCTTTTTTTTTTTCTTTATCTGTGTGTGATTCTTTTTTTCAGGGCAGAGACCCCTTTTTGCAAATAGGTGAGCATAAATCATTTTGAAACCCTATCAATAGAGCTTACCCTAATGATTCCATTTACCTCCCGGGGAGTTAATTTGCTTTGGGTAGCTCAAGGGATGGGACGTTTATTTCGTTTTGGACATGTACATCCATTTGATGTACCCATGTATTATTATTATTATTATTATATAAAAAGGACAAGTGTGCTCGTTGGAAATTTTGAAAAGAACTCCTAAGAGGTACCAAGATCCTGTTTTGTGATCGTTGTTCCCGCTAAGGAGCTTTTGAGGCTATTCACGCTAAGAGGTACAAAAACCGCTTTTTTTAACCCCTAACGAATACGACGAGCAACCCCATTCTTTTTATATGGGAATCCCCCCCCCACCTCCCCCTGGGGTGGAACACTACCGTAATAAAAACCAATTAACAGAACTGTAACCATGGGTACTCTGATAGTCATAATGTTCAATATTACGCTCAGATTAGAAAGCAGATTTCATAATTTATTCGTCTAATTCTATGTCAATGTCATCAATGTCATTTTCTTTATAGGGGTGTTTGTTGGAAGAGGTTGCTTATTAAAAAAACGACACTCAATAAGGAGCGCTTATAAGAAGGGAAATGCTTTTTGGAAAGAGGGCGCTAAATCGAATAATTACAATATTCCTTTCTTGTAAGAATGCATGCGCCACATAAGTGTCTTTTAGGGCTAGGGAGTTGTTCATTAATGCTATTGTGTTAACTTCAGATCAACTGAAGTCGAGGAAAATTCGTCGGCCACTCTTTCAAGTGTTTTGGGAAATGAAATGGCAACTTCACATCAGAACTTAAGAAAATAATATTGTAATGACTATACAGCCTCCGTAAGCTCAGCGTTTACAGAGGGGACAGTGTGCGTAGTTGATACCACACCCCTAGAGTCTTGTAACGAATGAGAAACAAACGTCCTCAAACAATTCGGGTCTCCCGCATTAACACCTAAGTTCCTATCTTCAGGATTGGTTGATTGACAAATATTCGGCCGACAAGGTTCACTATTGGTTTCACCGCGAGAAATTCGATGTACCTCTTCGCTGTCAATCCATGCGTTCACCACGTGGGCCCTATTTGGCCCCATTTCATGATGCTCTTGATTCGACCTTATTGCCGAGCCCCTTTCGCCTGAGGGGCGGGGCCTATTTTCACCATGGGCTATAGTATCTGGACGCGTGGGTCTCGGACTGACAATATAGTCTGTGGTACCCGCATCGCACGATGTACTATTTCCTGGATAAGGTGGTGGAGGCTCCTCATTATCCTCTTCTTGAGAGCCCCAAAGTTGAATGTCTGTGTGCTGAGACAGGTTGTCTTCAGATAAGCCTCTAGGTACCACACGAAGGTGGTGTATGAGGCGAGGACTGTGAACGGACAAGCTAAAAGCACTTGAACCAGAGCTTCGTCTTGTCTCCGAGATATCTAACGTTAGTGACGTCCTTCTAGATGGTGGGTAGAGGTGAGGCGAGCGAATAACTAATGATAAACACCAAAAAAAAAAACAATTAGGAAATAATTAAGCTCCAGAATTTTTAAATCGAGATTATTAGAATTTTTCTTTTCCTTGCAATGGACCATTTTCGTATTCTCGGTAATGGACTGGAACTAGCTTGTAACTGAGGCTAACGTGAGAAATCTTTTCAAATGTAAATGACATCAATCTCTTTTTAATGATATTCCCCCGCTTGAGCCTCCATTGGAAGCTAGTTCCAGTCCAATACCGAGAATACGAATACGGTCTATTAAACGAAGACTTTAACTGTAATGTTTTGGGCAGCTCTGGACGTTAGACAATTTAAGACAAGACAAGCCATTTTAAGGTCAAATGGAAAAATAATATCCGTGTTTTTAGGCCCAACTGATCTCTCAAACTTAGTGAACATTCCAACCATTTTGAAAAATCAATTTATTCTAGGCTGGGAGGAAAATAGTAGAAAGATGTGGTAGGTTACTATCCGCATACCTGCGTCATAAGAGGGTGGCGCCTCCACGTCTAACGGATCACGTGATCGATCAGCCGAGTCGTTGCCTGTTGGTCCAGATCTTTGTCGGTTTCCGGAAATGCGTCTGTTGTTTGAGCGGAGCTGGAGGACAACTAATGCGCATGCCACTAAACAGATACAGCAGAGCCCCATGACAATCACACCCACCTCTACGGACTCTTCCTTTTGGTCAGATGAATCTATTGAGATAAAGATCAAGAAGCACGACTTATGAAAAACACTTCAACGTGGAAATTTGCGAGAATAGTAAACAACGTTTTCACATCGTTACGACGCCTTTGCTATGTTTCAAAATGCGATGGTGCGAGTTTGTGCTTATTATTTTTAGATTTTTATTATTTTGCACTATTTACACATTTTTACATAAATTTGTAGATATTGCAATACATGCACTTACAAGGAAAAAACGTAGGATTGAAAAAAAATAAATGTGATTAAAGTTGGCAAGCTAAACTAATAAATTGACAAGCAAAAGTGACAATAAAAGAAAATAATTATACATTGAAATAATAATAATAATAATAATAATAATTCTGGTAAATAAGTTCAAATGACAATTATGGAAGTCATAAATACTCGATCAGAACATAATATTTATCTAAGTGCCACCTTCTTAGTGGCGAAATTTTGTGCCAAATATTTCGTTAGGCCGCTTTGTTTAGTCAATCAGAACTGTGTGCTGTGAGATATTGTGTAGTGAATTAGGTCATTCTGTTATTAAAATAAATTAAGAAGAGAGTTGAATGTATGGCAGCAATAAGTTGAGCTCGAAATCTGAAGCCAGAAATATTGGTAAAATCATCTTGTAACCCAATCAGCAAACTCGAGCTTTAAATAACTCTGTTCAAAACAGATAACAGAACTCCAAAAGGACATTCAGAGGATTTTCACAGTCCAACAATAATAATAAAATAATTATAACGAAAGCATATTTCTCTTATATTTCGGGGTCTCGTTTCCGAAATGACACGGTGCTTTAATGGCATAATAATTAATGTAATTTTGCAGATAAATATTGCCGATTCTGACAAGCCAGGAGAAATGTCTCCATTACAAATCAAAGTTCAAAGGCTTTTGCCGAACGAAAAAATAAACGTAACTGAGATCACAAGATAGCATTTTAAATAAGCGATTTGTTGTTCCCATTTCAAATATCAACCCTCGATGGAAGGCTATACCACTTTAAAGCCAGGATCCTTCACCGCGGCGTCGGAGTTATATTTACCGTTCAATGTTTTTTTTTTTTTTTCTCTCACTCCCAAACGTCTCTTATTTTACAACTATAACGAAAATCTAAGGCTAATATTATCAACGAGAATCATTGCGGCAAGTTTTCCAAGGCATTTCCAGCGATCATATTAATTAGCTCAGTGAATACTGAAAATGCACTGACCTTGCTCTTCTGAAAGAGGTTTTTTTTTTTTCTGGTTCCTGGACGAAATTCAAACTCATGACCTCCCAGCGACCAGTCATTGAGGCGCTCTAACCGGCGAGCAACAGAGAAACTCGCCGGAAATTTCGTCAGGGACTCAGATATTTCTTTTCTTTGTTCACCCTCATGACGTACTCAAATTTCATCTTTCATATTTATTTACCGACTTTGAATTTAAGATCTTTCATTATTTATACAGCGTTTTTGTTTGAGATCGCAGTCAATGCTTACCGCTAACATTGGTCGGGTTCATCGTCATCATCATTGTTCCATTCATTTCGAATCCCAGTCCATGTACGCGTTTGGCAATCTTTCTTCTAAGTGAGAGAGTCCAAGTACACGAGGCTTCTAAAGAGATTGGAGATTAAAATTAACAGATCTATGCTGAGTGATTTTAAGTTTATCAATCTACACCCTCACTGAAGAAACATAATATTGTCACTTCATAGATGGACATTTGATTAATATAATTTGAACACCTGAAATCTGGCCACACTTGTATTGTTCATGAAGTTTACTCCAAATCCCTCCCCCACCCCCAACCCCCTTGCTTCCTGCTCTAGTTAAGTCTGAGGTATAAGGAGATTATAGACTGCGGGAATAAGACAGACGCAGAAAAAGTCATAATTATTGAGCCCAGCCCTGAGGCGACAAGCTTCCAAGTTATGTTGACAATGTTCCCCAGCCACCTCTCCCATCATCTTATACAGATTGTCTCCCGCAGAAGTTAAAGTGCTGCAGAGCGGATAACTATTAAAACCCACCGAGTCACTCTTGTTTATTCAGTTTATTACATAACTAAAAAAAATACTTCATTTTGACTCGTTAATTTTTAATTTGCACCGCAGTGCAAATTAAGGCGCGCGCGTTCGTAATTTTCTCGGTCATATCCAAATGAAAAATCGTATGAATTGAAAGCGCAAGCAAAATTTTAAGAATTTACGCTGCTCGTGATAAATGAAAATTCTTTCAAATTATATTCTCCTAAAGGCTTGTGAAATTTCGATAAAGTTTTCGAATATCACTGGTACTTTGAAAATATCACCTGTAGTGACTTCCCTATGCTAACACGATCAGCGCTGGTGGTGTCAGTTAAGGACCAAAACTCAGCTCAGATTTTGAGAAGTAAGTTCGCTACCAAACGTTTGGTTATACATTATGGTTACAACTCAGCCATGCATAGCAATGTGTTCCGGATGAAAGATTTCTGTCGACTGGTACTAAATCCACACCCGCACGTCACACGTAGCGTCTTAAGCTTCAAGCGATTCATTCTGAAATGACTTTGGTTCATTCAAATATATAAGAAACATAAACTGGTTCACCATACAAGAGTAAAGCGTTGAAACGAAAAACAAATTGTTACTACGCACGTTTTAAGATTAACCGCTTCATTGATTAGGGAAAAACGACACGCACTAACTGAAAGTTCAAATTTGTTTTCGTAGCATGGGAGACAAACTCAACTCTTTTAAAGACGAAGGACATCAGACTGAATGTGATCGTTATGTTGTTAACGTGATTTCGTTACCGCGATATGCGTGATGAAGTTCGCGTGGTTTTGCATAGAGATGAGATCAATGGAGATGAGGTTTCAATTTTCGCACGTTTTCGCAGCTCACGCGATGTAGTGTGTGTACAGTGAATGGCGGGCTTTGCTCAGTGCAAGATTACTCGGCGGCGTTATATATTTCATAAAACAACCGAGTTAGCCTGGCAGACTGTATGAATTTCAGATCACACGTTGCAAAGAATGGTAACTTCTACTGTTCAGTTAACGTTGTAAACAAAAAGAAATGCAAATTAACTTACCAAATTAAAAATCCTTTCTTCCAAGATCCGTTGATGGTTGTCAACTTTTTCGGTCTTATACTCAAACTTTTAATTTTCCCTGGGTTTCGTTATGTACATTTTCCAATCTCCACCTACAATNGTAGGGATGCGCAATGCAATACTGGGGAATAACCTTAAAGACGAAGGACATCAGACTGAATATGATCGTTATGTTGTTAAAGTCATTTCGTTACCGCGATATGCGTGATGAAGTTCGCGTGGTTTTGCATAGAGATGAGATCACACGCGACGGTTTCAATTTTCGCACGTTTTGCAGCTCACGCGATGCAGTGTGCATACACTGAATGCGATGTAGTGTGTATACACTCGGCGGCGTTATATATTTTATAAAGCAAACGAGTTAGCCTGGCAGACTGTATGAATTTCAGATCACACGTTGCAAAGAATGGTAACTTCTACTGTTCAGTTAACGTTGTAAACAAAAAGAAATGCAAATTAACTTACCAAATTAAAAATCCTTTCTTCCAAGATCCGTTGATGGTTGTCAACTTTTTCGGTCTTATACTCAAACTTTTAATTTTCCCTGGGTTTCGTTATGTACATTTTCCAATCTCCACCTACAATCATTCGATAAAAAAAGGAAAATCGTGTCCTTAGTAATGATTATTTGTTTTCTACATTAGGAAGCAATGCAAAATATGTGCATCAAATATGCCGTTAATTTTATTCAACGTCGGAGCTAAGAATTTCATTCCATCGCCCAAAGATTCAGTTCAGATTCCACAAAAGATGTCTTGGCCAAATGCACGCTGCAATAAAACTCGCGAGTGCCATGACTACTTTCGCTTTAAATATTTAATATCTTACAACAAAATCAATTATGCAATATTTTATTTGGTCACGTATTTCGCTTTTCAGAATACGTGTTTACCTTATTTAAGCAACACGCAAGCTGGTTTCCTTCTGAGAATGGAAATTGTCAATGGAAAGTGTCAACAACAGGTAACACACAATAAAAAAAACTTTATTCACGTTCCTTACAGGTAAATTCTTGTATTAAAAAGAGAAGAATCGGAATTTTTTACCCATAATTTTTAAGTAATACGAGTTATATTTTAACGCAGGTCTCGATGGGCAGTGTTCCATCAAGGTTCGGTGTTGATTATATCGACTTTTCATATAGATTTTACATATTCCGTTTGGATTATTTATTCGTCGACGGTGCGCAATTTTAGCTTAGAAAATCGCGGGGAAACCATCAAAAGTGACATAGATAGTTTTGGTGTTTTAAAATACTTATTTTAACTACATTGGAGAGCATTTTTATCACTCGTCCCTACATCAAAACATACACGCTAAATCACAGCAAAAGATGGAGAAGATTTGGATTTTCCTAACCACAAATTGCACCTGTTAACCTATTAGAGAGGAACTAAGGTTTTCTGAAACCAAACACTCATTTTCGTAATAAGAAGTGCTACTCAAAACAATCAGTGTTTTCTCAAATATTGAAATAATCTTTAGCCATAAGCCAAATAGAAACACCAAACATTCCGCGTGCATGACAATTGCTGCCTGAACTTCTGAATTCCTCGCCTTTCACTCGAAAAAACCGGCTGAACCATAAAGAATGGAAGCATAAGTTAAAATTTATCTCGCCTACCTGTCAAGTGATATGACTTCTCTACCGGCCTTTGAACGCGCTAGCTAGAACATCAACTGAGTCATGTGTGAGAAAGTAAATATTAAAAATAAATATTCATATGTGGAACGTCAAGCCTTTGTTCATGTAAATTTGCATAAGAAATTGACTTCTTAGTTTCCGGTTGCCTTCGATCTTGGTAAAGCTGAACGATATTGTTGGTTTAGTCACAGACAAAGCCATTTCCTGAGGTATTCAAAATAAATTTCTGTTCGGCCACACCCGAGGGGTAGTCCAAGAAAAATTGGGTGGGGTGTGCGGCGCGTTTGCCAAAAACCCGTACCTATTTATCACCAAAATTTGCGATTTTCCCTCCCTATTTATGACCTGACCAAAAATTGATACCTATTTATGACCGTTGCGGCTCAAAAAGTCGCTCTAGACATAATTTATGAAGGGATTTTGTTGATGGTCTTATTGACAATGATGAAAAAGTAGCTTCTTCTAAAACACATACCCAATTCAAGACTAGAATGCTAAAACCATACCCTATTTATGGCCAAAATGGCCAAAATCGATACCAAAACGGCTACAAGAAAAACATACCCTTTATGGCCGCACATACCTGTATAGCCCATATAAGGGAGTGCCCCTCCCCCGGGCGACGTGAACTTGGCACAAGGAAGATCAAAAGGCGGTTTTGAAGACAAGGGTTTGATTGGCAAGATCCCTGAACTACCGTTTCTGGTTTCATTACAAAAAAAATATCCACTAGCTAATCTAGCTAACAAGAACTGTCGGATTACAATCGTCCGTGGGGAAAAAAACATGGCGACTAGAACATTTTTCCATAATTCTTAGCACACGATGCCTTTAACAATGCTCAAACCTAGCATGCACAATGTCGTTAGCACAGGAACAAATATAGCACAAACATGGTTTTTGTGGTTAAATATACAGCCGCCATCTTTATTTCCTGCGGAGATTTCCTACAGACCTTCGGAGGTCCTTCAGGACTGAGTTTAAATTGACTGCCAGTCCTCTTTCTCGTCCCCAGCCCGTCTCTCTTAGCCGGCGGAGCCTTGGCAAGAGCAAAAATTGGCTCTGGAGCTACATGATCTGATTGCCAAGATTCCTGGACTAAATTTTCGCTGCCTTATTGTTACTTGTTTTCGCGGGAATATACCTTTGCCAAATTGGAACGAGCATATTTCGCGGGACATAAATTTCACGATTTCACCCAAAAAAAATGCGTTAGAAGGAACTAAATTTCGCGAAATTTGTTAAAATACAGATACTCGTTAGCAAACGTACAGTTAGTTTCAGAATACATGGCGTTAATTGCAGGAATGGCTCCGGACACTTTTTTTCTCTCTAAACAAGGAAAAAAGAAAAAGACAATATTAAAAGCCAGAATCGAACCCAGGTCGGCCGGATCCTTGAGTAAAAGTATTTGATTAGAGTATCTACAGACAAGAGACTGGATCATAGTCACTTGCTACAGACCTTCAGGAAGTCTGGCTTAAGGTGAGAATTTTAATTAACGGTCCTCCATTGATTTCCTAAAGAGGAGGAGCAGAAAAATGTTGCGAACTGGTTCAGCCACCTAAAACTAATGAAATATGTGGTTATCCTTTGATGGGCGTTGGTCCACTGGGGCAATGTTTCCCTACCTGTTTTATTTTCTCCAAAGAATTTGGGCATCGGCACCGGAAACCCACAGAACCTTCTAGCCAGGTAAACTCGCTAAATCATTCACGGCAATTAATTATACTTCTATAAGAATCGATGTTATTAGACATGTATAGCTAAAAATCGTATGAATGGGAGTGCATTAAGGCGCGACTGCTATACCTGAAATTCTGTAGAAATTTGGAAGTTTTGAATTTTACCGGAATTTGAATCTTACGGTATTGAAGTTTTATTTTGAGAACCCTGTAAGTTCAAAGCTCGTTTTCTCAATGCAGAACCAGTTATTTTTACCTTTTAGAAAAGGTATCTCTAGAAGGATTTAAGCTTTTGACCTCAAATTTTCAGGATTGCTAGGTCTCACTGATTTAACTGTTATGCACGAGGGAAAATGTTTCACAATTTAGATTGCGCAGCTTTAAATGGTTGTCAGAGCTCCGCATTTTCAAATTTCGCAAAATCTCTTATTCATT